GTCAGTTTTTGTCGCTTCGATAGGTATGAGTTATGTGGTGTCCGCTAGCGGTCTAGGGAATAAAGTCTTGGTTTTGTGCCATGTTCCAAGCCAAGGACGGATGCTGCAACCAAACTGAGCAAACCAAACCAGACCAAACCAGACCAGACCAAACGGTACCTCCAGTCCTGTACTGACTCTTGCTATGCGCCAGGCCTGCTCTGCCCGCCGATCTCTGGATGGGCAGCAGAGGGTTTCAGCTCACCTTTGACGTGGTCACTCGCTTGGACAAACTCCGGTGGTTTTCTGGGGGGGGGATTTTTTTTATGTCAAAGTGTTTTTCTTCTTCTTTCTTTCATGTGAGTGAGGAAACTGACCTCCCGGCCTTGCTATACTCAAACGGCAAAGACCACTATGGGAAGAACATATAAATGATTTGGCTAACGTCATTGAGCAATTGAAGGAACAAATCTTCTCGGCGAGTTTCTTGACCGAGAGGCTCATGCCACTCCGCCCCCACCACCCCTTGGGAGGTCTCGATTCCAAAGGGTCCTCGTCGGGCCTAAAATTGCAGTGCAAAAAGGCGCCTTGCATATGTCGTGTAACTCGCTGCTTTACCACATGTGGAACACCGGGGGTTGAACCTTGGAAGGCCAACACGGCAGAAGGTAGGGAAGTCACACACAACATCTCATGGTGAACGCAGGGGGGTTGCAGAGCAAGGGGAAGGGGAATGTGAGCAACCCCACATCGCCATGTTCACGACGACACACAGATAGGCGGCAGGCTGAAAACAAGCCGTGGGAATTAGGCTTCAACGCCAGAGGGTATCATTATTCTTTCCATCGTGAACGCTTCCCCAACCACACCGTCCCCAAGCTCTAGCTCTAGCTAGATCTACTGTCTGGAGATGGCCGAAGCAACGCGAGCGCTCCTCCTCTTCTTGGGCGGTGGACTGGGCTCCTTCTCTGCCTCTTCCTCAACATCTTCCTCCTCCTCTACAGCCTCGGCCTTCTCGTCACCGTCTTCTTCCTCTTCCTCATCCTCGTCATCGCTGCCGCCAAGCGAGATCATATCCTCCGCCTCCTCGCCCTTCTCGCTCCCGAGCTTGGCGCCGCCGTCTGTCTCGCCCTCCGTCTCGAACCCGCTGAAGTCGTCAGCCTCTTCGCCAGCCTCGCCGTCTTCCGACTCCTCGTCGTCGCTGATGGCAACATCCGTGTCCGCGAACGAGGCATCGCCGATGGTGTCCGTCTCCTCGCCGTCCCGCTTCCTCTTGAGCGGCATCTCGCCCAGCCTTCCTTCCCTGCCCTCCTTGACCTTGCCCTCTATACTCTCGATCTTGGGCGGCGCCGTAAACCAGGGGATCTTGCCCCTCATGAAGTCGTTGAGCACCATCTTAGCCACACCGTCAAGATCAGGCTCGCCAGCCTTGAGCAAACGGCCGCCCTTGCGAGCCAACAGCTCCAGGAACTGCACGTGCGTATCCCACCCCGTAAGCTCGTACGTCCTCTCGACGTGGTGCTTCTTGCACTTCTTCAGCACGGCGGGGATGTACTGCTCCGGGTTCTCGACGTTCTCCATACGCACGACACCACGCAGCAGAATATCCTCCTGCGTGTCGTTCTGGTTGGGCGGCACGATACCGGGGCAGTCGATGAGGTAGATGCGCTTCATGAGCGTGATGTACTGCCACACCTTGGTCTCGCCCGGGATGGGGGCGACGGTGCATACCTTCTTGCCCCGGAGGGTGTTGATGATGGACGACTTGCCCGTGTTGGGGTAGCCGATCAGGCCGACCGAGATCTGTTTCCTGTCCTTGTGCAGGATGGAGAACTGGCGGAGCAGCTGAATGAGGGAGCCGCGGCCGAACGAGTTCTTGATATTGGCCTTGAAGGCGCAGGTCGGGTATTCTTTTTGGAGGGCGCGGACCCAGTTTGCCTTGGTAAGGTTAGCTTTGCGTCCTGCAAGAGATAACGATACAGGGTGTTATAGAAACACAATAAGGAAAAGCGAAATGTATGAGACATTACTAAGAAAACGACCACGAGCCACCCATTTACGTGGTGGTTGTCTTCAACTCTAATGGAACACGTCCGGTTCCCATGAGGGCCCCCGAGACGGGAACCCTCCACCCTCGATCCGAAAACCAAGGGCGCGGGAGGTGGATATTGATCTCCCAACGATGTAACGGATGCATCCCACAGTGTGGTATCTCTCCGAAGAGAGAGCTGGAGTACCCTGACTAAACCATTGGGAACGCCATGATGGCGAAGGGAAGTGCTGAGCGAAGAGGGGACATGAACTTACTGCTACACTTGTGGGCACCAGGTCCGTCTTGTTGATGACAAAGACCAGGTGCTTGTGTGGTGCCTCTTCCCGGAGGTATTTCTCAACACTCCTACACCTAGTGCCTAAAGGATCTCTTGCGTCGAGGACATGTAGAATGACATCTGCAACCGGTTAGCAAGGCTTGTCTCGTAGACCACAGGTGGTGAGGGAGACTTACCAGAAGAATCGATAACCTTGTACAACTCGTTCCAGATACGCTTGCTCTGGCCCTTGTTGAAGATAGGCTCCTTGGCAGTCGGTATCGCATACTCCTCCTCAGCAACCACAGCCTCGGCACCATCGTCGCCAATACCAGACTGGCCGCTCAAGAACTTAATCTGCTCCAGCCTCTCCAGATGCTGCTCCAGACCCTTGTCGGCGTCCTGCGCCAGGTCACCAATCGTGGTCGAGCTCAGCTTGACCCTCTTCCTCTGCTTCTTGGGGCCGAACACCTCGGCGAACGGTTGGCTCTCAACCGTCATCTTGGCCTGGTGCTGCTTCAGGCCGTTGACGTCGTTGCCGTCGCGGATGAGCGACATGGGCAGCTTGTTCGACTTCAGCAGGACCTGGTACGGGTCCTTGTCCTTCTCCGCTATCGCCTCCCGGAAGGACTTGAGCGTGTCCTGCGAGATGACGCGTGTGTTGGTGAACCATTTCCGGTTCGGCTCGATCACGGCTGTGGGGATGTCTCGACTCTGGTACTGGGCGGTTTGTGTGATCTTTCCCTCGGCGTTGCGCTGGGCCCGGCCGCCCTTGTACATGTTGAGGCGCTTGAGCTTCTCGGGACCACTGCATTGTCGTCAGTCATTGCCATTTGCGATAAGGATGTGAGGCTGCTGTTCTTACCGGTAGAAGTTCTCACCCTTCACCTTGACATTCTGCATCCCGTCCCCCGTCTTGCCCTGCCGGACAAGACGGCTCTTTTCTTTCTTTCCTGTACCCATTGTGCGTTTTGCAGGCTCCCAAATATGTGTGCTAGAAAAGAAGTGCAGATGGGAGATAGTCTGCTTGAGAGTAAGGCGGGAAAAGGGTTTGATGTGGTTTCTGGGAGTGTTGTATTGGTGGGGTTGGACGGTTGGAAAATGCAGCTCAGAAATTTCGGATGGGAATTTTGTTCCCCCAGCCATTCTCCAAAACTTTTTGATCGGCACAACGGCACTAACCGCACCGACCCTCCGGCGACCCGGAGAAACAGTGCAGCCGGCCAAATTATTCTCAATCGGAGCTGGGGAAGCTCAACGACGACAACCATCATCACCAGCTGGCTGGACCAACCCCCAACGCCCATACACACACAACATCTTGCAGCCCTCCAGCTCAAGGTTCAAACCACACCCCAAGATGCCGCCACCAATACCGCGGCCGTCCCTCTGCGGACTCGCCAGCCGAACCTCCTCCTCAACCTCCACCAACCTCCTCCGTTCGAGCTTCAGCACCTCCTCCTCCACGAGCCAATCCCTCCAACCCCAGCAGTCCGCCCGCATCCCCCCGGAATCACCAAGATACATCTCCGTCCCCGAGCCTCCACAAGCAACCCTCGTCCGCCAGCCCCCCATGCGCGGCCACCTCCCCGTCCCGCGCGAGATCTTCCCCCGCAAGGGCGGCGAAGGCGACCGCAAAGTGAGCAAGGGCTACGTGCGGCGCGCCACGCCGCTCTCCAAGGCCGAGAAGGCCGGCGAGGCGCCCAAGACGGAGCTCGAGGCCTGGCGCCGCAAGATGGCGCACTCGCGCCGCACCGCCCTCGCCCACGGCCTCAACGGCCTGCACCAGCGAAAGGCCGCCACGGACGAGTTCACCGCCGCCAAGACGCGGGAGAAGAGCGAGCTCCACCGCGCCGCCGCCTCGGCGCCCGACAGGCGCGACGACGTCCTCACGCGGTCCTCCATCCTCGCCTCGGTAGCGGAGCAGGTCGCCGTCCGCGAGAACCCGGCCCGCTTCCAGACCGCGAAGAAGAGCGCCAAGCGCACCGCGAAACTGCACGCCGCCCGCGCGGAAGCCCGCGGCGACGCTCTGGGTGAGCTGTACATAGCCGCCAAGGATTTTATCATCGACGAGGCCGAGCTCGCGCGCAAGGTGGACGAGCTGTTCGACGAGAACTACTTCGCCACCAAGGGCGTCTCGGACGCGTTGTCCATCTGGGACACGGACGGCCCGCCCATCAAGACGAACGCCATGATCGACCAGCAGGGGTACGGCCGGGACAACCCCGCGAGCATGGGGTACGAGATGTACCAGCCTGACGCGACGAGGACGGCGAAGAAGCAGAAGATTATTGCCGAGGAGTTGACGGGTGGGAAGCTGTAGGCAGGCAGGCTATCATACGGGTGAAGGGAAATAGTTGCCTAGGGGACGGCTTGTATATGTATGACTGTACAAAATGTATTAAAAGTTGAGAAACTGGAGCATGTCTTCTTTCCTTTTGTGACTCTATGTGCTTCATGTTTATGTGTGGCCATTGCACCTGGCCGATCAGCGAAACCCACGACGTGCACCTCCACCGACTCACATACCTCTGATACAAGACTGCCACAGCGAGAGACAATGGCCGAGAAAACTCTGTGCACAGGTCCAGCGTCTAAATAACCATACCTATCTTCCTACTTTTAATACTCAGTTATGCACGCCAACACGACACACAAGTAAAGCCAACAAAAAGACCGAACCCCAGAAAAGAAGCAAAAAAGGTATTCTGTAGGCTGACCAGGGAATCGAACTCCTGAACTTCGTTCGTCTCAGAACGCTGTGTTACCATTACACCAGACTGCCTTTGGTATCTTGCTCTGTTTCCAGATGCAGAGGAAGAGAAGCAGAAGGAAACGATATACTGCAGCCAGAGGTTGTGACGGCCTCACGGACGTCCGAAGGCGCCATCTGAACTGTTCCTCCGGGCGGGGACTGCGGCCGAAGTTGGTCTGATGTCTCGGCAGGAATGAGAGGCGAATCGGACGGGTTAGGCACAGAGGAGACGGGACGGCGGGGGAGAGTGAGAAAGTTGTACATATTATGTATCATATGTTTCATCAGAGTCGTGATGTCTAACCCGGACCTAAAGAGGAGAATCTATTCCCAACGCCCTCATCCAATATGCACACATCCCCGTTCCCGTTCCCTTCCCTTCCCTCTTCTTCTCCCTACCCCTCCCTCCAAACGTCCGCACCCCCAGGTAGATCCCCAACCGGCACGCTAACATATTCATGCACACCCCCCATACTCCCACTACTACTCCCCGCCGACCCCGGCCGCGGCGAGTTCCCGCCGCTGCTGCTCGACCAGCTGGCGAGCTCGTCGACCCTCCGTATCCCCATCATCCACGACACCAATCCCCTGGGTACCCACCTCCCGACGAACCCGTACACGCTGGAACCCAGACCGATGCGCACGACGCCGCTCGTGTTGCTCCCGTCTATCACGTCGAAGACGGCGTTGTGGAGGCTGCGCAGGGACGAGCCCTTGAGGCCTCTTATCCTACCGATGGCGATGGCGGAGGCGGACTGCTGCACGTAGTTCCGCCCGTACGCGTGGCGCGCGGACTCGGGCCATGCCAGCGTCTCGGCGTTCTCGACTGGCGCCATTATCAGGCCTTGTTGATAACCGGGGGGCCGGGTGGAAGTCTGATGGCCCTTTTCGGGGGTGAAACCTTGGAAGTCGAAGGTGCCGAGTTGTATATGCGTCACGGGAATCGACAGCGGCCGTAGTTCAGCTGCCAGCACCTCGGTAAAGGCGGACAGGGCGGAACACACCGTCGCCTCGGGGGCGTGGAAGGGCGGGTTGATGGAGGAGATTATGGAGGGTGTGAAGACGAGGACTTTGGGTGAGGGCCTCTCGGGGGAAGAGGGCGTGCCGAGCTTGGCTGTCAGGAGAGGGAGGAAGGCTTGGATCGTGAGAATGGGGTGGAGGAGGTGCGTGTTAAATAGGTCGGCGAAGGAGGAGGGCGGGATGGTGGCTATTGGCGAGGTCTGGTAGGCGAGAGAGGGGATTAGGAGGACGGCCTTGAGGGTAAGGTGGTATGACTTTGCGTTGGGGACCGGGGTGTGGCGGTCTTGGAGGTAGTGGGCGAAACGCTCTATCGAGGCGCCGGCGCTGGGGGGCTGGAGACGGGATGTTAGCTTGGAGATGTTAGAAGGGGAGAGATGGGGGCAAGATGCATACGTCGGTGATGTCGATTGTAAGAGGCTTGATGTCGGGCCGTGCTAGGTTCTGCACCATCATCTCGTCTTCGATGGTGTTGCAGACGACAAACACCACAAACCCTTTCCTCTCCAGGTCCAAAGACAGAGACCGGGTCAGGGGCAAAGTCGGCGAGCCGGCTAGCACAACGACCTCGACGCGCCCGCCGTTCCGTGCCCGCTTCGCCCGCCGTGATTTGCGGGCATATCTGCTGCTCTTGTATGTGCGGTACACCACGACACTGGTCGTCAAGACGATGACGCCGGTGAGGATCTTATGTCTCGACACCCAGTCCTGGACCTTCTCGTATGCCGAGGTGGGCAGGGCGATCAGCTTGGGCGGCTCGGGAGGGGGCGGCCGTGGCCGGATGGAGTCGGGTATCCATGGCGCTTTGGAGAGGGCGTCTTTGAGGAGTTGAGAGGCTATCTCTACCTGGTGGTCAATGTAATCCGCTACATCGCCGGAGTAGCGCTTGATGTCCGTGGGGATGGATGAGAGCTGTCGTCATCACATCTGTCAGTCACGCGACGCGTCCTGGCGAATGCTAGGGATCAGATAGGGGGTACTCACAACATCGAGGAAAGCCTGATCGTCGGCAGACATGGTTGCTTATTACAGGGGAGTTCGGTAGACTGTGAAATGTCTTTTACCGGATGATGCCAAAGTTGGGATGTGGATGCATCAACAAGACGAAGCATGATGGGAAAACTGATTGCCGTTATCAGAGTTATCGGAGCTCCACCGGTTCCGTCACTTGGCATGACGACCGCAAATATGCAATATCCGATTGGCTGATATTTCCTGGGGTAGCTCGAAAGCTCTCAAGCTTCCCTTCATCCATTCCATCTTCTCATCTTCATACATCTCCTAGACTTTATGCGATCCAGTGTCTCCTAGGTCGAACAGTTGCATGCCAGCATGACCGCAACCCCGACATCTACTGTGTGTCGCCCTTACCGACCTTCCTCGCCAACACCCGTAGCCTAACGTAACTAAACATGAACCCACCTCCCGGTTTCCTACACACAACCTCCAGCACACTGACCACCTCCCTGATACACGCCTCCCTCTCCTCCTCCGGCAAGGCCTCGAAGAACTACTTTCCCATGAGTCTAATCCACCCCTCCACACCCCCCCTGATCAGCAGTGGTAGGCCTCCACTCCCGCTCAACCTTCTCAATCTTCCACCCTCCTACTTCTTGCTCCATCACGTCCGTCACCCACTCCTCGTCGGGGAAGAACCACGGATCGGCCTCCTGTGCTTTCTCTAGTCCTACCCGTCTGGCAACGGCCATCAGCAGCGCGCAGCGTAGCTCGGAGACGTTACCCAGCCCGCCCATCTCGAAGGCAAATGTGCCACCAGGCTTGAGCATATCACGTACGCTGCGGAAGAGGTTTGACCGGGACTCTTGAGGCCGAAGAATCCAGTGGAGAGCTGCATTGGAAAATGCCTTGTCGAAGCTGGAGGGGGTGAGGAGTTCACCGGACGCCAGGGCGTTGGCGTCTCGTACTGCTCGGTCGTTAGTATCATTCGTCGACTGAGAGGGAGTGCGGCATACGTACCGATGAACTGGGCCGGCCGATGCCCATCACCCGCCGCTCGTTCTGCGGCTTCTATCATGGACGGTGAGCTGTCGATGCCCACGATGGACTTGAGGGTAGCGGAGCGGGCGATCTCCAGGGTGAGAACACCGTCTTCGTAGCTCATGTTAGACCAAGGCTTTGGAACATGCGTTATGTTCTACAGGTAGCTGGCAACTTACCGCCACAGCCAACGTCCAAAATGGCATCGCCGTCCTGCGGATCGAGCCATTGGACTATCTTTGTTGCCAGTTTGGGCACGAAGGAGGCCGAGTGCTGGTAGGCCTGGCGTGTATGTGAGTATAAGTCGTCAGGAGGATGTTGATAGAAACATACCTCGGACGACCAGTTGTCTTCTTGAGCGGGCATTTTGTCCTGGGGCAAATAACCTCCTCTTGTGTCTCTCGGTGTTTGGCAAGTGCAGCTTCAGTTGTTGGAACTAAGGTACTGATACCGCAGCATACTTATACGCCCAGCCCTCCTTCCGTACTCGACTTTACACGCCATTGGATCTGCCCCACAAGGAAGGGAGGCCGATTTCGGCACCAGCTTCAAATGTTGACATGCCCGCATCATGCATGTGTCCCATACCTACAGCAAGGGAAGCAAGCAAACTGGTAGTTGAAAGTGGCGATTAGATCGTCCATGATACGTTGTTACGCTATGGAGGGCCGGAGTCACGGGCTTTTGGCGTGAAGATATGTCTTCGGGTTGGCTGGTCACGGCAATGCAGGCTGAACCACGAGACTTCAGTCTCAAAACGACAGCTTCCCCCCCTGTTCTCACCACCACATGTAGAATCCGCCCCGATCTCCAGTCAAAGCTTGTACCTTAACACCCATTCAGCTCCCACCAGACAGCAAGGACAGACAGATAGCCTTACCGGACTCCCCATTCCAAACCTACGGGTAACCAAAGGTACAAGTCCAAACGAAAACGTCATCCTAACTGTGGAATAGAAGACTCAACACCTCTCGCAGAGCCAAGAGCAACTTCTTTGATCTATCTTACGCCTTAGGTAGGTAGCTTGCCCGAAACGAAGCTGGATTAAAGAAGTTGCTCTTGGTTTCTGCGGGAGGTGTTGACTCCCCTACTACATAGTTAGACAAGTGTTCTTTTTTCATCTGTACTTGTTCCACAGCGCCCCCCCGTACATCTTGGACTCCAGTCCGGTAAAGCCGGCCAGGCTCCGGGACGGTATCCGCCCCTACCTTCTGCCTCCATCCTGCCTCCATGTCTTCTCAGCGACTACCCAAACTTCTTCTCAAACTTCTTAAACATCCCCGTCACACCCCTCTCCAGTCGTCCCGCATTCTCCTCCAACTTCCCCTTCGCCTCCCTCTTCGGCGTGTGAGGCCCCACCTCCGCTGCCGTAGGGCGATACGCCTGTTGGTGGGTATAATCCTGCACGGGTGGCTGCCCGCCAGCAGCAGCATAGTTATACCCCGCGTACCCGCCCACAGGCGGCGCCGTAGCGGGCGGCAGCCCGGGGCTAGCGAGGCCAGGACTCGCCAGGCCAGGTGTCCCCGGCGGTGCGAAACCGGGTGACTGCGGGTAGGCACCGATGATATGAGGATGCTGGTGCGCCGCAACGGGCATCGTCGCCGCCCTCGCCAGACCCGGGTGTACGGGTGGCGGGGTCGGCGAGGCTGCCGCAGCCCCCAGGGAGCCGAAAGAGGGGTACTGGTGCGGCACGGGCGCGACGGCCGGGATGGGCGGGCCGGGGAATTGCGGCGCGCTGGGAGGAGGGAGGAAGTGCTGCGGCGGGACCATTGCTGGTGACAAGGGGCCGGGGCCGATGGGGCTGCCATACCCGGCGGGAGGGACGAGGCCCGGGCTGAACGGGGTGGTGGCGTCGTGGGCTAGGGTTGCGTGCAGGGGGTTGAGGCCGCCGTCTTCGGGTGGAGGGGTTTTCTCGCGGTGGCGGACTTGTTCGGGTGCTGGGGGCGCGGCGGGGTTGTACGGGATGGGCACGAAGGCTGGTGCTGGGGAGGCGGCGGCATCGCTTCCTGGTGGGG